CAAGACTTTCCCATTCAGCCCTGCCCGGGGCTGCCCCGCTTCTCAAAAGAAACGGAAACATTCAAACATTTCTCCCCCCTCCCCAGCTGAAGAGAGGAAAAGCTGTTTCTCTTTTCCGCCTTCCCCATTCACTTCACTTTTGATACAATATTTTCCTTCTTTGTTATACCGGAGAGAGAGGAGTCACGGCAGACTTTTTAGTGACCCTTTTTGGAGCGTTTTGTTTAATGTAAATACAAGCACCTTCACTCTTACCGGCTTATAATTATTTTTAAAACAACCAGAGGCTCGGGAGGGTGACGGCTTGGGCTGATCTTTAGGGGAAAAAAATTCCTGAAAAACCTGGGGGAAGGGCATTCAATAAGAGAAGGGAAAGGGCAGGTAGGAAAAAAAAAAAAAAACACAAAAAAACCAAAACCAAACAACAACAACAACAAAAACCCCAAAACAAACAAACAAAAAAAAAAAAACAAAACAAAAAAAAAAACACCACTACCAACAACAAAAAACTAACGGGGGGAAGGGGTGGGGAAACGAGTTTTTTTATTTTGGGTCTTGTTGGTGGAAGTAAAGGCGCGGGCGCAGCCCCGGCCCTGCGGAGCTCCGGCGGGGAAGAAGCGGAGCTGGGAGACGCTCGGTTCTCCCGTTCTCCCGCAAGAAGCAAGGCCGGGCAGCGGGGCTGCTCTTCCCACCGGGGCTCCGTGCTCCTTCCTCCGCCCCGGCCACTCTTTCCGAAGGGGTTGGTTTTTCTCTTGCTGCCAGCACAAACCCGCAGGAGGGTCCCTCCGCTGCCCGCTCGGGAGATCCCGCATCCTTCACGACACTCAAATCCTCTGTCGAAAGAGACAATGTCATCTCCGCATTGCCTATTGAACAAATTCCAGGTGTTTTTGAGTTGGAAAGAAATCCCACGTTACCAGACGCTGAGCGCATGTGCTCTCTGCTCTCTTTATATCTTTAATTCGCCACAATAAGTGCTGCTACTGTGCCCGCAGAAGACGATGGAGAAATTGAATCCAATTCACCGATTTCCCAGGAAAAAAAAAAAATAAAGAAAGAACACTATGTATTTCATCAGATTCGGTTTTGAGGGCGAACATGGCTTTTGCTCCCAAAACAACCTCATGGGTGGGAAGTGCTGCCCATCAGCGAACCCCAAACCCAAGGTAAAACCCCAACCTCTTCTGGCGCTTAAACAACACAGCCGGGCTCTTCTTGCACGGCTTAAATCCAGTGGGGTTCAGGAAGCAGCAAACCTCAGGGTTCGGGGAGCAAAGTGCTCTCCTGACCTTCCCGTAGGTGGGTACCCCAAACTCAGGTGGAGACCCCTACTCTGCCCCGCTCCCCGCCCTACCATCCGACCTTTCCGCACTCCTAAAATGCAGATTATTTGCCTGTCCACCAGGAAAAGAGCTGCCTGTAAACTGATTGAAAAAACAGTAAAAAAATTTCCTGCTATCCGCCCCATCTCTGGAATAGTGTGCAGGGAAAACCAAGGCGCATGCATTTGGGGACGGAACGCAGCTTTAGGCATGGGGGGACTAAACGCCTTGAATTCAGGTTTTAAATTCATACTTAGAGGGGCAGAAGTCACTGCCTAGACGGGAATTTATCTGCAGATAAAAGGCAGCAGGGCTGAATTAAACTATCAGGGAGCTGAAATGCCCCTGCCCCTTGCAGGCAGCCGGAGCCGAGCGGGAGCCGGGGCATCTCCCGCTGCCAGCGCTGCCCGGCTTCCCCCAGTGCCAGGCTCCGGCTGCTAAATAAATCGAGCCAAGCAATCAGCTTACCGGGGAGGCATCTCTCTGAGGACAGGGAAGTAAACGCGATGAGACCGAGAGGACAAAAAAAGCACAGCTCAGGCGATTTAAAGATCAATGTCAAATTGTATAATATAAAATCCTTCTGCTGGGGAAAAAAGCTTAGCACGCTCCTTGGACCTGGCGTTTGGTCTCCTCCAGCAAAACCGCCGCAAAACAAAGCGAGGGAGGCGGATGGTGGGGACAGCCAGAGGCACATCGCAGAGGTCCCGATTTGGGGTAATTTAGTCCCCCGTTATAGCCTTTCACTGGCATGGAGAACTGTTAATTCCCCATCTTCTCCTCGCCTTTGCCAGGTGAGGGAGGAAGCTTAGTTTCCCCGGCGGGGCTGTGCCCCAACCATTCCTCTCCATAATATTTTTTTATTTTTCTTCCCCTCGTTCCTCTCAGAAAATTCGCCTCCGATAATCCCCTAAACTTCAGCCCTTGGGAGAGAAGAAGCTGCGGCGATACCGCTTCCTTCCTTCCCTTCCTCGGGCACCCGCATCCCCCGCCAGCCTCACTCCCGCTCCTTTCGCCTCATCCCGGCTCCTCCCAGCTCCCTGCCTGGCAAAAACATCACCCCCGGTCCCGGGGACCGGCTAGTTCGGTTCCTGCCGAGCTGCTGCTGAAATAGCCGTGGCCTCGGAGATCTGCTCTGGGTAAATCGGCGGGCGTGAAACCGACACCGTCATTTCAAAGCAGATGCGAGGGTCGTTCACCAAATATTTTATTATGGTTTTAGGCTGCTTCATACAGTTTCGTCCTGCACATGCTCTACAAGTCACCTGTGCACATAGAGAACAAGCCAAAAATAATAATAATTAATAATAATAATAGAAAAAAATCTACCATAGCAATCCCTTAAATAAGTAAATAAACATTATATATATATATATAAAAACCCTTTAAAGTAAAGCAAAACCCAACCAAAAGAACAGCGTCTTTTCAACATGAAACAACCCCGCGGGATAAGGGCAGGGGCTCAGACATTTTGCAACTTGGCATTCGGTTTCTTGATTTTTTTTTTTAACGTTTTCTGGACTTTCTTTAATTATTTCTTTTTAGGCATCAATTCTGCAAATCCTTCGAAATAAAGGCGACAACGATTTTAATGACGTTTTTAATGCAGTCTGCTGCGGGGCCGGGAGGGAGGCGCGGGCGGGCGGCCGGGGAGCGCCCCGTACCCCGCGATCGGCGCCCGCGCCGGGCACTGCCAGCCCCGCCGCTCCGGCCGCGTCCGAGGCACCGGTGAGCCGGGCCTCCCTCTCGCCCCGCTTTGCCATGGCGGCGGTGTCAGATGTCACATTCACTGTCGCTGGATGTGATGGAGATGGCGGAGGTGGCCGCTTTGCTGGAGAGGCTGGCTGCGGGGCTGGAGGCGGCTCCCACCGCCTCCCCGCCGCTCTCCTCCTCCGCCTGCAGCGAGCGCACCGAGCCCTGCGTTAGGACCTGCTGCTGTAGCCTGCAAGGAAGCGGCACACACAGCATCACCGCCCGCCCTCCGCACCCGCCGGCAGCCCCTGGGTCCCCCCGGGGGCTCCCCCGACCGGCACCCCCACTCTGCTTCCCCCGACCTCCGGCTCTCACACTTATACCAGCGGTACGAGAGAGGAGAAGCTGGGTGGGCACTCGGTTCCTCAGCTCCGTCTGAAAAACCGGGTGCCCCCACCAGGGTCAGCCCCGCTCCTCGGCTGGCACACCCAGGGGAAAGTCGTCCCCGTCCTCCGCAGCCTGCCCCCAAACCGAGCCTCATCTTACGGGTCAGTAATGCCCTGCAGCAGCTCCCGGGCGGCGTCTCCCGTCCAGTAGGCCTTACATCTTCCCTTAGCCCATAAAAAAGGGGCTCCGGGTGACAGTACCCACGTCCCCGACGTGCGACAGCCCGGCTGAGAGGTGACAAGGGGAGTTTTCCCCACCCCGGGATCCTGGGCAGGAGATAAAGAGGGAACTCTGCTCCCTCCTCTGCTTGCCGGGGCGTCTGCTTGGGTCACTAGTGTTGGGATAACACTGCTCATTTAGAGCCGTGATTTTGTTCCGTAACATATATTTTTTAAAAAATTGTATCTATATATTCACGTTGTATTTCTATTATATATATATATATATATATATATAATAGAAACAAGAACAATATCCCAAGGAATGTTCCCGGATGGCTCCGGTGGAGGAATAGGACACGGCAGCCTTGGCAGGGCCCTCAGAGGGCACGGCCGGCTCTTCTCAGGATGGACATATCTCAAACCACTATTTATATGTCCGGGTAAAACTTTGGAGGGGGTTTGTTTCCGCTCAGCCCCTGAACATGGCCCTTCTGCCGCCAGCTCCAGCCGGTGGCTGCCGGCGGCCCCTCTCCTGCTCCCCCTGTCCCGCTTCCCCACAGGGCAGCCAGGAGGGAGCCCAGGGCGGGGATCCTTCCCTATTAAATCGAAGTAATTAAAAAGCCTTAGTGTTTTCCCGCTGCTCCTGCTTTATCTCGCTGCATTTCCCGGGGAGAAATCTCCCGGGATCGTTTCCCCCATCCTCTGCCGGCCGTCTCGCACCGCCTCCCCGCAGCCTCCGGCCTCGGCGGGCGGGGGCGAAGCCTCGCTAAGGGGGAGCCCGAGTCCGACGGGACGGGCAGCACCTTACCTGTTCTTAGCGGCTGCTGCCCTGTCCCTTTGCCTGCGGTTTTTGAACCAGTTGCCCACTTGCGTGGGGGTAAGTCCCGTGGCCTGAGCCAGTTCCCGCTTTTTGCTGGGGTTGGGGTAAGGGTCCTGCAGGTACCACTCCCGCAGCAAATGCCTCGTCCGCTCCTTGAAGCAATGTGTCTTCTGCTCTCCGTCCCAGATGGTGCGCGGCAGAGGGAACTTCTTCCTCACCCGGTACTTGTCCACCGGCCCCAGGGGTCGGCCCCGCAGCTTCTCCGCCTCCTGGTAGTGCGCTTCCAGCCAGAGGGCTTGCAGTTTGGCGTGGGACTCCTTGGTGAACTTGTGGTTCTCCAGGATGTGGTAGAGCTCCCGGTAGTTCCCCGTGTGGAAGGCCACGATGGCCCGGGCTCTGAGCACCGACTCGTTCTTGTTGAGCGCCTCGCAGGCCGCGGGGGCCACGGGCAGGGACCAGAGGAAGCGCCCCAGGCGCTCGATGTCCCCGCTCTCCTCCAGGGTCTCGCATACCCCGGCCACCTGCTGCGGGCTGAAATTGAGGATGGGCAGCTGGAACATGGAGGCGGCGCCGGGCTCCGCTCCGCGCTCGGCGCACCCGCGGCGATGCCCGCCGCCGCCGCGCACAGCCCCGCGGCGGGGAAGGGGCAGCGGCCCCGGGCCGCCCCTCGCTCCGCTGCTGCCTCCGCCGGTGCCGGCGGAGCTGCCGCGGGAGGGACGGCGGAGGGCGGAGAGGCGATGGGGACCGCTCGGCAGCTCCGGCGACTGGGGGCGGTGGGCAGGGGCGAGGCGGAGGAGGATGGAGCAGGGAGGGAGGAAAAAAAAAAGATGGAAAAAGAAGAAGAAAAAAAGGGAACCAGAAAAGGCACAAGCGCAGCTCCCCGCCGCCGCCGCGCTGCTGCGGGAGCGGCTGATTTGCTGCGGGCTCGGCAGATTGGCTCCCGGGTTTCCATGGCCGGGCTGCCACTCACTGTCAGCCGCTGCCAATCACGGCGGAAGGCCCCGCACCGCCCCGCTCCCCGCCCCGCTCCCCGCCCCGCTCCCCGGGGACCGCGACCCCGCCGCCCTGCCCCGCCGGCCCGGGCAGGGCAGAGCCGAGGGGAGGGAATGGGGTCCCGCTTCAGAGTGCTGGCTGCAGGTTGGAGGGAGTGGTCCCAGCGATAGGACGGCCGGGACCCCCGCATCCTCCCCGGTAAAGCTGCGGGGTCAGGCTCGCACAGAGCTCCGCGCACCCGCGGGCAGAGAGGGGGATAAGGCAGAGCTGAGAAATCAGACAAAAAATTGGCTGCCTAACAGTGACAGTGATGCTGGGAGTGTCACTGACAATGGATGCAGCGGGAGCACCGCCGGAACAGCCGAGATTTAGGGAAAAACTCTCCCCTTTCCTCCTGTAGGTGCCTTCCCATTTCGGTTAAGACGAGGAATTATCTGCAAAAAGCCCAGCGCCCTTTCCCGTTCAACCAAAGCAGTTTATTTTTTTTTAATTATTTTTTCTTTTTTTTTTTTTACATTTAAACCCTTATTGTTTTCGGCTGAATGGTCCTGAATAGACGCCGAGAACAGTCGCGAGGAGTGAGAAGTCATTTGTAGGTCAGGAAAGCGACTTAAAGCAGATTTCGGGAATCTTTTGAAATATTGATCACCCTGTGGTAATCATTCCCCGTGGGTTTTTTTCCCCCCTCGGTGTCCTGAGAGAGCGATCGCGGGGCTGGGTGCAAGGTGAGCCCCGGCCCCCCATCGGAGTAAAGCGGGGGCAACTCCACACGTCTCGAGGTGGGATGAAATCTCTTTTTGAGCTGCGAGGATACCATTTATTTTCCGTAGAGAACGGGCGGATGATCAAGAAGCCACTCTTTATTCTACAAATAGCTGCTCAGTGGTAATTTTTTCCCGGGAATTAGGGACTATGCTTAGAAAGGCAGCATATATTTTGAATTAAGCTCAATATGTTCTCCCCTCTGCTCTTTGCAATGTATTTTTTTTTCTAGAATGCTTGTCAAAAAAATCTCTTCTTAATTTGATATCTTGTTATTGTCTCTTCCCTCCCCCCATTCTTTTTTTTTCTCCCTATTGTTTTTGTTTTTCTTTCTTCCATTCTTTAAGAAAGCTCCTTTGCTAGTTGCCTGTAGACCGAAATTAAACAGATTTACATTTTCTCCAATCATTTCTCTGCAGAAATGGAGCTGGACTGAGGCTCGCCGTCTTTTCTTTAGTATCAAGTACAATTTGTCTTTTGCTTGTGAAGATTTGGTAAATCAGAAGGCAGATAGATAGCGCAGATGGTCGGAGGTGTCGGGTCAGATTATGGTACGCCTCAGTACAGTGCTAAGCTCATTCTGACGGAAAACCCTGATATTATTTTCACAGATCTACACAGTTCACTTGAAAAAAACCCTTCGAGCCATTTACATCATTTATGTGAGGCTCACAGCTAGCGGGATGGAAAAGCTTTCAATACTGCTCATTTTCATAAGACCCGACAGAGCTGGGGAGACATAAAAGCGCACACAAAACTCACGAGTTCAGAGACACTCCACAGAAACTTAAAAAAATAAAAGGAGTGACTTTTCGGCTTCACCTTCATCCAGGTTTGATTTGCCGATCTGCTTAGGGAAAAACAAAGAAAACCTAAGGGGGGAGAAAAAATTAAAGAGAAAAATATAATTTAGAAATATTGCCGAGAGTCCTCTTCCAGCCTTCCATCCCACCACTGTCCTCGCCCTTAGGGAATAACAGTAATTTGACCAAGTCAACGAAAGATGCCAAATAACCTTTTCGGGCAGGAATTTAAAAAGCCTCCAGACCTCCTCGGTATGAGCATCGGGCTTCCCCAGTGAGCGGGTGAGAGGGCGGCGACCTCGGCGGCTCCGGGCGCGTCCCTGCGGGCAGGAGCTGCCCCGCCGCCCCAGCCCACCCCGCCGAGCCCCCGGCAGCGTCCCGGGACGGGGCTGCTGGAGAAAAACCTCTGCTGGGAGAGACGAGGAAGGATAGAGAGTCTGTGTTAATGGGTAGCTAATTTAGAACGGCCAGATGATGATTGTGATGATGGAGATGATTACTAATATTACTGAAGGGGTAATTTTTTTATTTTTTGCTGGGTTTTTTTTTTTTTTTTTAATTATGCACATGATCTGGCGAGGGAGTTACTGGGCTGCAGCCTAATGATCATGAACACAGAGAGACAGGCTCCGTAATGAAAGCCAAGACTGTAGGCTAAAGAAATGAATCCTCATTAAGTGCGGCTCGCAGGGGCGAGGGGCTGTCCCCCAGGTCCCCAGCCTTTGTTCCCCAGAAACCGGCCCGGATGGGGCGATGCTGGCAGCACTGCTGGGAGGGGAGAGGGAGAGAAAGAATAACGACACCGAAATGGACCCAGGAACCTTGTGTTAACTATTTGAAGGGTCATGCAAGGTGGAAAAACAGCCCAGCTCAGTAGTTTTGAACCCTCTCCAGCTGGGAACTGCGGGTTCTGGTTTTGGGAAGTGGCACGGTCCGGTGTGACTGGAGTGTCCCTGTTTGGGAAAGGTTCTTGGGGCTCCTTGCTTTGCGCCACCGGGGCCGAGAGAGATCAGCTTCAAGGAGGCCCCTCCATCCCTTTCCCAGCTCTCAGGGAATTTTATCCATGGCTGACGCCCTGACAGGTTCCCCGTTTCCCCGCCGCTCCACAAGAGCTCTACCGCCGGACCGGGCCGGGCCGGGCTTTGCCCCCGGAGCGCGACCCACAGCGATCGCAGCGACCCCAAGAGCGACCCCATCCCCTGGGACGCGCTGCCGCATCGGAAAAGCCGAGATTCCTGCGGTGCCAAGCTCCTGCCTCAGCCCCCGCGTCTTACGAGAGCAGCGGGCGAGCCTGCGGGTGCACTTGGCCGTGCCCTCTTCGTTTCGGCCCTTTCCCCCCATTTTCTTCTTTGCCCCTCCGTCCTCCCATATAACAGAAACACTACTTGTGACATTAATAGCCGGCAATTATAACTACTTTTATTTAGGTGACAGCTTTGACCCTTGTTACAGGTAACGTGATGAGTTAACCCTGCGGAAACAAACCCACTGGAAAACAAGAAATAAAGTTGTACGTGAAAAAATATTTACCAAAAATATGACCAGACATCTGTAGCATCTCCGCGGCCGGCATGGACACGGGGGTTCTGGCCTCAGGATGGGACATATTCCCCTCTCCTCAGAACCTTAAAGCAAAAATACGCTGAGCAACATATATATACACCTTTGCATCAGCATTTGTCAGCTATCTTGGGTCCCAGAATCTCAGTCACTGGGGATTATCTGGACAGAGCTTCCAAACGCAGCAGAGATGCGAATACATTTTTAAAGCCCTTGACTGGCGTTCAGTAGTGTATTAAAAAAATACCCTCGGGAAGGAGAAGCCTCTCTTTTAAGTCTCGGTAGGATTGTCAGAGATGTGGGAGTTCATTAAGGGATGCTGACCGGGAGAACCGGAGCGCAGGCGGTCCCTGGGGCGGATATCTGGGAAACCAGCCGGGATTTTCCGGCCCTGGATGGGTCTCGGGCTGGTGCCGTGGAGCGCTGCGGGCCGGGAGGGGCTGCAGAGAGCAGGAGGCTCCCTGTCCTCCCCCGGCTGGTTCTACCCCGCTCCCTCGGAGCGGGCGGGGGATGCTCAGCCCGAGGACAGTGCCCGCTGCCGCGGATAGAAAAGGTTACTGGAAATGTCAGCCCATCTCGGGGAGCGGGGACCGGGTTTTCGGGAGCGTTTCCCACGGAGCTTTGGTGGAGGACCTCAAGCTCAGGATGCTGGAGTGGGGGATGCTTGGTGGGGAAAACACCTCTGTTTCCATGTGCTTCACATGCTTGCCCTACTATTTTTAAGGGTGCCATCATTGTTGAAATAACAGCTATCAATCGTTTCATTTCCTCCTAAAATGAAGTTGCATTTAAAGCTGTAATCTGCTCAATATTAGAGAGAGTGGGCAGGTTGGATACTCACTTAAGCTGATGATACCTGTTGAAAGCACCAAAGAGTCCCTAAAATGCTGTTGGACAGAGAGAGATGTTCACCCACTTTCTACTCTCACACCATATATTCATGAAATCTTTGGTGTATTATTCAAGTTACTTGTCAAAAGAAGTACCAGATCAGGCCATGGCTCGTACATCTGAAGTTAAAATAAAGATGCACTAAAAACTCAAAATATCGAAATTATTTTGAGATTGGTAAGGAAAGACTTTCTTTGTACAGGCCTCTGGTCAAGGCCGTGGTTGCAGACAGAAAGGATCTACTGCCCAAGATTAATATTTAATTTTCTTTGGGGTGTATGAAAGGTTTTTCTGGTCTATGAACCTGGCTTTAAAGTTTTGAATCCTTTGGGGTTTGTTTGGCTGCTGCCTTCACCTGAAGGTAAATACACACACTGCCAAATCTCCTTCTACATTGAGATACTCCTGTACAATCTTCAATCTGCTTCCATTAGGATTTCACTGAAAATTTCAACAAAAGCAACAAAATCACGAAGTATTCAAATAAATAGATTTTTTTGATTGATGGTGGTTTTTTCCCACATTAAGACTCTCCTCTCCTCTCCTCTCCTCTCCTCTCCTCTCCTCTCCTCTCCTTTCTCATTCAAGTTCTTTAAATATTACAACTTCTCCCAAGATGGGGAGGAAGGCCGTCACTAAAACATTTATTTAGCAGAAAGCAGGAATGAGGACAATTCGCAAGTTTAGGGGAGGTGAGGAACCACGCTCAGATACCCTGAAGTGTCTAAATGTTTCTGGGGCTGAGTCCCGGACAAATCCTGTGTCCCGGCTGGCCTGGGCGCTGGCACTGAGCTGTTTTCCAGCCCCTCTTGGAGGTGACTCGCTGTGGTTGAAGGCTGCTCAGGAACTGGGGTCGCTCTTTTCTCGGGAGGGAGCTCCTCCGCAGCTTTGGGTGCCATGTGGGAGTCAGGCACCATCCCGGGCTTGGGGACAGGTTTGGGGCCACGGCTGCACAGGTTTGGGGCCACGCTGCCTGGGCTCCAGCATTACAGCTCTGCGTCAAGGAGAAAATTTATCTCGGAGCAGCTCCATGAGGACAGGAATCTTCCATCCCTTATCCCAGTAAATCAGGCAGCGACAGTTCCCTGCTTTCTTCTGAGGGCATTTGGCCGGGTGCCTCCAGAGATTTTCCCAAACTCGATCACAGGTACTGCCAGGGGCACTGGGTGCCCTGTGCTCTTTGCAGGGAAGGTCCTGGGTTTCCATCAGCTGGAAGAGCCGGCAATCAGGACCGGGGGGAGCTGCCAGAACACAGGAGAGGGGCATGGAGCTCAGCGAGAGGCAGCACCGGGGCTGTGCACTAACAGGATGATGGGTTTGGGGGTCTGCCAGCAGTGGGGAGAAGGTTTGGGAGCCTTTTCTGAGCCCTGACTTGACTAGGTTTCTTTTCAGAGTAATGCAAGCCATTCATCATTGATTAGATGTGATACTATGAAAGAGCCCTTCCTTCTTGCCATCGGTAATGAAAGTGGTTGTTTATGGCTTTGGGGTTAGCTGGGGACTTTTTAGAGGGATTCTGCTGGGAAACAAGAGAAAACAAACAAGTCAGAACCAGCGGCAAACAAAATTCCTCTTTCTGCAGCTTCAGAAGGGTTTTATTTTGGTGGGAACAGAGTGATAACCTCGGCTTGGGAGCCCTTATAATAAATAGATGGGTAAAGGAGCTCCCGGGGCCTGCCAAGCTCCGGTGGGAACAGGTCCTAGGGGGAATTAACCGGGAAGTCCCTGCCGGTTTTATCCAAAGCCTGTTGGACTGACTGACCACCTTCCGGGTGAACTGGGGTCTTTGGATCTCTGGGAATCTCAGCCTCCGTTGGCACTACTTAAATCACGGGGACACGGCGAGGTGTTAATGTGCATCATTGAAGTTACCTGCTACTCTGCCTTAAGCTCCCATTCATTCGAGAAGTTTAGAAGGTCTTTAAGGAATTGCTTGATGCAGGATAAAGCTTTGAAGCCATTTCTCCTGGGGGAAACATCGAATGTTTTGGGAAGACGGAGTGGCAAATGCAGAGCTCCAGAGGCATCTAGGAATTGGAGCGTGCCTAGGGAGCAGGGCAAACAGGGCTCGCACCCTCCAGAACAGGCAGGGAGAGAGGTGGGAGATGTTTCTGGAAAGGACAGAGCCTCACCACGGAGCAGAGACAGCAGAAATCTAGCTTCCAAAAGAACACGCCACTTTCCATATCCCTCTCTTTTTTATTTCCCTTCCTCATGGCTGACCAGAAGCCAGGTAGCTCAGCTATTTCTCTTTGAAGCTGCATTTCTTGTTGGTTGAACCGAGTGTTCTGAAAGCAGCATCGCATCTGACTGACACCTGTGCTGCAGCTGGCAGAGAGAGTTTTCTGTGTGTCTCTCTCTACAGTTCTGTTTCTGTTTCTCTATCCTTTCTTCTTTCTGAAGAAAGCTGATGAGGGATTTTTTCCCCCTCCGTGTTGTACCCTATCCCTCAATTTATTTTCCTCTGCTTATTGATAATCTTAAATCCATCCTCTGCCTCAGTAATCTCAATTGGGAGTAAAAACCAACCAAGTGTGGAGGGGAGCATCATGTTCTAGATTCTTGCACACCCCGGCTATGCATTTTTGCCTTGTAATGCTGCACTTCCACAAACAAACAAACAAACGTGACAATTTTTTGAGCACAACTTGTGTTGAGGCAAGCGACAGCATTCCACAGCATTCTTAGTGTGAAGCACTGCTCCGGGATGAGAAGGGAGGTGTTTTAATGCCTTTAAAAACTATCTGAGGGCCGGGCCCGTGAGGGATTGAGGGAAGGAGGATTTAGGCTGATTTCCACCAGCTGGGTAAGCAACACTAGCGGGACCTGGAGGGCTGGACAAAGCACATTACACTCTGCAGCTCCTTATTTTTGTGCCGCACCCCAGAGCGTGTATGTGTGTAAATAACCCTCAGCAGTCTTCCCGGCGATGTCCCGCTCTAGCGGCGCTTCCCTCCTCTCCCCGCCCGGCCACCGCCCACCTGCGCGCTGCCCCCGGTAGATGGAGCATCCTCATCGCTTTTCGCCCGAAGCCCTCAGAAACGTTGGTCTTTCCCTCATAAATCCCACTGTTCAGGCAAACGGGTGGTTTGGGGGGCACAGGAGCCCCGCCGATGCGTCCCTGGGGAAGCGGAGCGCCGCGGCCGCTGGCGATAAACCCGCCCGGTCGGCGCTGCGGTTGTTCCGCTGGGTGAACGGGCACAGCCCCTTCTCCCGACGGCCGAAGCTGCTTCGGGCTTGCCCGGCTACCCCGGCTCCCACCGCCCCCGGCACGGAGCGCGGCGGGCAGGTGGCGCCTGTCGCCCTCTCCGCACCTTTCGGCGAGGCTGAGGTGCCCCGGGACGCGGGGGCTGCCCCGCGGGGCGCGGCCGGCGCTGAGGGGCAGCGTTCGGCGGTGAGGGAGGTTTTGGCCCCTTCGTCCTTGGGTGAGTCTCTGGAGGCTCCTCGCCCTTTCCCTTCTGGCAGAGCCCGAGACCATGCGGAGCAGCAGCGTTCTGGTCGCTTTCCCAGTGCTGATGGCCCCCCAAAGGCAGAGGATCCCCTGAGCGCCCCGGCCGCGCCCTCAGCCCTCAGGGACTCGGGCCCCGCTTCTCACGCCGCCATTTTGTGGCGTTCCTCTGCAGCCCCTATGGTGTCCCACAGGATGGGGGTTTCCCCTAGTTTTTCTCTTTTGACAAAAATAGTTTTAATTTTCAAATCCCAAGACTTTTGGGAATCATCTGCAGTAAAAGCTTTTTGTTTGGTATGTCCTAAGTAAATGGTGTCAATCCAATGGGTTCTCGGTTCAGGTCTCCTCACGGGGTTCAGGTCTTCTCCAAGGTTTCCTGAAACAGCGTGGTAAAAGAAGGGCAGAGGAGCATAAACAACACGACGAGAGGCACATTTTTATTTTATTTTATCAACAGAGATAAAAAGCCACGAAATGTAAGCTCTTCTAAATTTCAAGAAGATTCAAACAACCAGTTCCTTTGCAGTCATAAACAGCACGGGAGAAGCACAGGTTTGCTCTAAAAAGAGCCTCCCTAAAATGAAAATTATTCACATAGAGCCAACTGGAATTAATACTGTTTCACAGCCTACAACTGGTAGAACCGAGATGTGGATTTTAAGGAAGATATTTACCTCACAGGTTATGGGTATTTTTCACGTTTTAATGAAGAACCTGGCTGTTGCCAGATGAGTTACTGAGAAGTGGCATTATTAATGTTAGTGCTATAATGGCTTGAGACCACATCAGGCAGTTTGCTTGTGGGTTCTGCACCCAATACAATCTTCTAAGAGATGAAACTTTATTGCCGTCATTGAATTCCGTGTAATTACATTAATGTGCAAAAATGCAAAACGCATAACACTACTTTTCTCCTGGCAGCATTCTGAATAGCCCCATTAGAAAGTACAGATGCAGCCTGAAGCTGGTTTATCCAGTCGCGTGTGTTACATATTTATCTTTAACAAAAATATCAGCCACATAGGAGAATTTCCTCTGAATTAGCCAACATCCTGAGCTGGCTGATGGTTTGATGCTGCTTTTCTGCACTATGTCCAAGAATCACTGTTTGCTACAGTCATATCCTGAAAGACATCAGATGTCAAAAGTTTGTTGCAGGCTGGTGTGACTTACTGTTTTTCAAGTCTGCAAACACCATGTATATTATCTGTGCCACTGAATTTCTCAGCGTTTTCACTAGTGACATCTGTATCCTCATAATTCACGGCACAGAATAGCATTTGACATTTGCAGTTACACTACTTCTTTTTAACAATACCAGAGAAATAAATATTTTACACATGCTTATTTTCAGAAGCACTATTTTCTGCAACTTTACCCTTTTTATAAATTTTATTGTAAAACTACAGTAAAAGAAAATAAACACTTTAGTTCTCTCTACAAAAACATTAGTACTCTTCCACAAAAATATTCAAAAGGTAAAATTAGTTGTATTTTTTGGTGATAATACAGTAGTCTCTATCTTAATAATATACAGCTGTACAGTCTGCTGTATTGATGAACTTTGTGTTGCAGTTTATAAAACAGTAATAAAATTTCTTTACCCCAATATCTTACAGTTTTTATGGGAAGTTTCAGAAGACCAGCTAATAAACACTATTACATGGTTTCTTGAGAACACCTTTTAAATACATGCTCCAAATTATTTTTTTTATAGTAAGAAATTACTTTTTTTTTTTTTTTCACATGGTGTGAAAGCAAAAATATTCTGCCTTGATTTGTAGCTTGAGGTAGTATTTTGAGTATTTTTCTTAGTAATTTCAGCTGATTTTTAGATTTGCTACCTTAAGTGTTTTCAGGCACTAGGATTTCAATCCTTTAAATACATTTGGTAAAACTGTTATCTCTTTCTCGGAGTTTTTACGCAGCCTGTGCTAATCCAGTCCCCTGGATTAGGTGTTCTGATCCTCCCTTTACTGTGAGATAAATTAATTTCTGTCAAACACCCAGCGTTTAAACGCTGCCTCCTCCCCCTCCCGCTCCCACAGCCCCAGTGCTGCAGGATGGAGCCTTAATGCCACTTTAGTCAAATTCTGCAGTTGTTTTCTATTCCTCTTGATCCTGGATTAGGATCTCATCCTCAGCACCGATTTGTCGTGGCTTTGCTCCTCTCGCGGCGTGATGGGGAAGCCACGGTGGGACAGCTAAAGCCCGGCCAACCTCGCTCGCTGTTAATGCACCTGAGCTAAAAACTGAATTTCTGCACCTGACAGCACGGTACAAACAGAAGAAAGGATTTATAACAACCCGTTTTCCATTTAGTGACAATTCTGTCTTTAATCACGCCTAGCATTCCCACACCTTTGATTTAAATGGACTTGTGGTTGTACAGGAGCAGTGTGCAGGATGCTGAAGGAGCTTTTGCATCAGCAGCACAGCAGTCCGTAGGCTTAGTAACCAGCGGGAGTACAGGCTACACATCTAGTACACAAGCATCTCTCCTTGCATTCTTCATTGCCTTCTGAGAACATTAGACCTCTCAAATAGAACTGCTGCAGGAGCAACGCTTTACCTAAATTATAAATGTCCTTTTCCCTAACTGTGCTGTAGACACTTAGAAGTCCCTTACCACCATTAGTGAGAAATTTGGTTCCACTAGAGAGTAATTAAAATGCAGTTAAAGCTACTTTTCTCCCTTTTATGTTAAGATGTGTGGTATTGTCTTGCAATTTTGACTTGTTTATTGTATCAACAAGGTTTTTGACTGTGTAAATCCTTGAATTGCATTTTTCTTTTGAAGTTTAAGCAATGAGTGACAAGGTTTCGATCAACTTGGACAAAATTCTGGCCAAGCTTGGTAGGTCATTATATCATACATTTTTTATTAACAATTACTTATGCGCTGCATACAGTGATATTTTCTGCTTTAAACAGTTATATTAACTTCAAATAAATGTATTATATTAAGCTTTTGTTCTTTGCCTACATAATGTTAGCTGGGAGGTTGTGGAGAGGAGTCCTGACAGCTATTTTTAATAGTAAAATTTCTATTTAGATATTTTGCTAAAATAGTTGTTAATCAGAGTTTGTGCTGCACAACATATGTTTGTTTCATAGCTCCACTCATATATATGTATATAATGAAGGGTTAATTTTCTTCTTAAGCTTCCCAGATAGAAAAAAATCGCAATGCTAAGGAACATGTGGATCGTCAGATAAACTGTGAGTAGTGATAAATTATAATTTTACTGGATGCTGAACACTGATTTTGTTTTGTGAATCCTGGGACACGCTCTGTGTCCCGGGGGCGGAAGCAGGGTAAACAATGGAAGCTGTCCCGTGTCCTGCTCTCACCCTGCCTCGTCTTTAGCCATCAATACTTGCTCATTCTCCCCAGCAGACTTTGCTTTTGCTCGCCACTTTTAGCTGAGGCTGCTCAGCTGCCTCATGGACAGCCAGTTTCATGCTGCGCCATTTCCTGCTCTGACTCTGCAGCTCCTCACAGTCACTGGCAGCCCTTTGATTCAGCTGTGCTTGCTCAATGCATCTGCCACTTGCCTCCCTTTCTTTCTTCATGTTTTTTGTTCTTTCCAGATTTGGACCTCTGCCTCACTGCATCTTCTCTCTTTCTGTTTTCTCGAAATAATGAAAGTTCTCTCAGTTGCTACTACGTACTCAAGCCTTGTTCTCCTTTTTTTGCAATCAAGCAGCTGGTTAATTTATTTGAAATTCAAAACAGTAAACCCAAAGAGAAAGTCTTGCTCTGCATCAAATTTGTGCTCTCTCAGGGTTTACAGACAACACAATACTATGGACTTATGTCTGGACTGATTTTTTTAACCATACTGCTATGTGGAATCACTTCATGAAGTCTGAAGAATAGTTTCTCTACCACAAACAACCTGAGAACATCTGTGCTCGCCTCTGGTACTTCATAGGTAGATATTCAAGCACATAACTTCCATTAAAAAAAAAAAAAAAAAAAAAAAAAAAAAAAAGCAGAAGAGAAAATTCTGGTCTAATTGGTGTTCTTTTTGATTATAACATTTTAATAATCTTCACTGATATGTCCAAGCAAGTACTTATTCATTAAGAAGATTATCACAATTACATTGAAACACCTTAAACATGAAAACATCTGTAACACTAAATCTGGTACACCTCAGATTCTGGTTTAACTCTCCAGTCACACAACTGAACCTGAGAGATAAGGCTTTTATTAACATTTATGCAGGCTTAGGGTAAATGCTCTTAGGGAAAATCCAAGGGCTGTGTAGTAACATGGCATAGCTGCTTTTGTGTTCAGAGATACCTAAATATGTGTAAACACACAGCCAACACTCAGGCTTTTAGCAGTTTAGGTTAAGCCTTCCAAAAACTTAGCAAAAAATAGTAACACTGATGTAATTTTGTCTCTGCGTGAGTATTACTTGGCAGATGAACAGCTGTAGCATTCAGCCTTGGACTTTTGGTGTGAGATTCATCAGGCTATTTGGCTACAGTCCCTTTCTTACCAGGGGAGGGAAACTGGCACTTTTAGGATGTGATTTACCTTATCCTGAAGAAACAGTTTAAAGTGGGTTAGATCAAGTAAACTTTAAAAGTGTCAGCTTGTCTCAGCTGGGTGTAGCTGCAGCCATGGTGTGCTGTTCTGAAGAAGGTCCCTGCACTTTGGGGTGAGATGGATCTCACCCACCAGGTCCTTGTGAAAGCACAGGGTGAGTTGAACAGCTCACAGAAGTGCTTATCTGTAAAGAGTACTAAATGAGATATGAAGTGTATATTTTGTTGATTATGTTATGTTACATCTTGGTAAATCTCAAAAAGTCACCTACAGGGTTCTGCCGTACTTGGCTGTTTATTTACAGAAATGAAGTCATGTCAGTTGTCCAATATTTATGCTTCGTGCTAAGTAAAGGCAAATTATTGACTTTAGATATTGAAAATATTAAGGGACTGAAGATAACCCAAGGATAACCCAAGATATTAAATTTTTACTTTTCACTGACTGACAGTTCTCTGTGAGAAGTGGTTTATTTTCTACTATAAATGCAGATGCTGTTGAAAATTAATATATAGCAAGTAGTGCAAAACCAGAGCCAAAGTCCAGGATGAACTGAAGCTCCAGAGCAGTAATTCCAACAAGTCAAGACCCATGTTGCATCAGTAAGATGCGTTCCCAATGGGGTAGATGAGAAAAGGGCAGGATGTAATTGACTTCTCTGTAGGGCCACCTGCTCCAGCATTTAGTGCTTCAGGGCAGCAGTGACAGCAAGGGATGATTTAGCACTGATAAATCTGAAATCTTGCATAGAAAAAAAAGAATTAAAAAATGCAGAGAAAAAGCATTCACCAAGTTGTGCCTATTGCATTGCAAGGTGAGCATGCATGATAGCTCTCACAGCTTTTACTTGTGAAGAGAACACTGATCATGTTCAACAACGTGGATTCTCTCTAGCCACTCATTCAGAAAGTCTGTCTGCTGTCAGAAGAGGCAGAATTAAGAGTTTGCCTTTAGAATCTCCAAAAATACCATAGTCCTTGAGAACCTGTCATTATAATGCACTTTTTAATTAATCAACCTGTGTCCTCTATTTGTTTATAATACATTACATATTCCTACATTGAGTAAAATTCCTTTTTATTTTAATTTTTCTCTTTCTCTTTTCCACTAATTGCTTATATACCTTTTGTGACGTTTTTATTTTTCCTTTATTGTAGTCAGCTTCCCCACTCAGAATATTTGACATTCTGGGCTTCTGTAGAAGAATACAAATGTTTGAAAGAGGGTCCTGGCTTTACAGAGCGAGCAGTGCATGCTTTGGAGTGTTTCAGTGGGAACACTGAACTGGGGCATACCAACAGCCATTACTTCTATAACAGTTCTGTACAGTCTGGGATTCAGAAACAGCACAAATCATGGCAGTCTCACAATATTAGATGATAATTAAGGTACTCACCACACAGCTGAAAATCCCTGTATTTTGACTCACTTTGTTGTTACCTTGCTTAGCTGCAGGCTGTCCACTCACCTGGCGTTAGGAAGATTAAGTTTTTTGGAAAGAATTTTTAATCACTATAAATGTAGACTCATTTTTTCACGGATTTGTTGAAAATGCATTCATATACCTTTACATTTATTTTTAAATTTCAGTGTGCACTGCAGAAATCACAGAAAAGAAGAATCAGATTGCTTGGTTGGAGGAAAATATAAAAAAAGGCAATGAGGCACTTGCTGATTTGCAGAAGCAGAATGAGAGCAGCAAGAAGCACTATGATGCGTGAGTATGGAAGAGCCTGAGCTCTGAGCTGTGGCTGCCACTAAGGAAGGCAGTGAGGAAGGAAGGGAAAAATAAGTGTGGGTGTGTTCTGACAGCAGTGATGTTAAAGAACACTTTAGTATTCTGTTTTTTTAAACTGCAGATCTTTAGGTATAAAAATTATAGTGATACCCATCTGCTGAGAAAGAATTATAGAAAAGCAGACTACATTTAATTTTGTGTTGTTTTTCAACTAAAATCTCCAGTGTTCAGAAGGTCACAAGTACTATCTTTGCAGCATGCTAAAATATTAATGTGGTAAGGTAATAGAATCAAATTTTTCTACACTTGGATGCATCTGAGTTTTGTCAATTTTGACCAGTATTAAGAATGCTGTTAAAAAAAAAGACTTCCTAAAATTGAAAATCTTTCTATTCTTTCTTCACAACATTTTAAGTTACTTTTTGTTCTATGCTTACTTTTACACAAGGTGTGCCATAACTGCCTCTCCATACACACATGTGTTTCTGCTGGCAGATTCCAGTGTCAGTTTTGCTCCAGACTGCAAAATTTGTCTTCTGGGCACAATATTTTGATGAATGCAATGGGCTGCCCTTCACAGTTTTCCTTACATAAATGTTTGTATCAGATAAGTATTTCAAGTTTTGAATGCTGATCACTTTTGGATCTTAGTAATTAACAGCTTTTCAAGACACAATTTAGCTACAAGGAGTTTTATCTTCCTGACACGTAATTTTTAAAAATTAAAACCTCAGGTGTTTGCTGGGTTATCTGAAAAGGCAAATCTGTATTTAACAATAGAGTTTGTCCCAGGTGATAAAATCCACCAGAGTTTTCCATTTCTCCACAATCTGACTAGTTCCTCAGGAGCTGGAGTGGGGATTTGTTGGCAAATTCTGTTTTGTTTTCTTAAAATTCTCTATCTCAAGGCAAGTACTTCAATAAAAATATCTGACATGCATTTGAAATTTTTTTGCAATGTGAATGGAGAGTGTGGGTGTTTCTGAGAATAGAGAGAAGTAAAGATGGCATTGGGGTCCTTTCTAGGTTTATTTTGAATTCTCAGAAAGAAACAGAAAGAATGGAATCATTAGTGAATAAAGTGGGTGTAGTGGCTGGCTTATTTGAATGAATTGCCATTCAATACTGATTTGTAGCTTTACCATTAAATGAGTGGGGAAAAGATCTGACCTTGGTAAAAAAATTCTATTTTTCCATTACATTAAGTTTTTGCCTCCAATGTAGAATAAAATGAACACTTACACAAGTTTATGAAACTATCCACACTGCTTCCTTTGATATCTTTTTGAGGCTGCAAATCTGTTTGCAAATGACAAACTGTTAAGTGATGCAAATGAAGGAGTAAAAAATTAAGGGTAGAACTAAGGATCTGATCTCAATTTTAATCATTGAATTCAATGGGTTTTGGCTCAAGTCCCACAAAGAATAATTAATGGCATTAGTGTAAAGAGACTGAAAATGAGAAGTGACTCATTAATGAATACATGTATTCATAGAAGGACAATGCTTGCAGAAGAGTAGAGACTTTGTGTCTTAAATTATTGGAAATGTCATTTAACGACAGACTGAAAACTGCAATAAACAAGCCCTGGCTATAAGATCAGACAATTAGAGCACTTACACAGTAGAATCACCCCAAACTTCTAAAATTTATTCTAGTTGACACTCCATCTATACTGGACATGATTCTAATGTTGGTTTTGTAAATTCAGATACTGTTTTGGAGTCACAATCACCCTCACAGCTGACTAATTGCCAGTGATAGAGCTCAGTGGAGCTCTCAGAGAAACGACATTTTGTCTGGGGTGCAAGACATTATGAGTATATTGAAGCAGATTTGAAGACTTTGAACAAAATACAAGGTTCTTATATTCATCAAGTCTAGAAAAAAATATGATTTATGGGATAGATGTATTAGGATAGTACTGTGTTTTCTCAAGAAATCCATATTGGTCTATGTAAAAAGGACCTGAAGGCAGAAAATGACCCAAATGAAACATATTTTTAGACAAGTGATGACATTTTGCTAATATTCATTTTCTTGAAGGATTCAAACTAGAAATGTTGATCTCAGAGCAGTAAGAAGTAGTGAAATGCTGCTGATGGAACCTATTCCAATTTTATTGTTTCTCTTACAATTTTTAAATTTGGATGAAAGGATGGTGGGATTTAATAGAAATAGAAGATAATTTTAAAAAAGCCACATGAATTCAGAATGTTTTTAGTTAGGAAAAGAAATTGTTGTGTTGTCCCCAGACAAACTGCAGGATAATTTTATTGCTTTCAGAGTAGTGTGGTTAAAGATCTTTTCTATTCCCTGGCTGATGAAAGAAGGACAAATAAATGTGATGACTACCAAGGACATCCCTGAGACAGTGATGCATTTTGCAAACAAGTAAATGAGCTGCTTGAATCCTGCATGCCTGGTTGTGTTAACAAACCACTGTTCTTGTACCACATGTTTTTTCCATGTCCACAGAATAGATGTGAACAAAAAATGTAACTCACAGCATGGCTTGAGCTCTGATTAATACAATCTCTATGAATTTTACATCTCAGGTTTTTTTTTTTCCTCCAAGGAAAGTAATGGAGATTTTTCAGTAAAAGAACACAACAGTGTCTGGTGTGCAAGGACGTTTTAATATAAATATGTTGGTTTCTGCTTTTGAAAAAATCTGACCCTTTTGAAATTCAGCTTTCTGCTGAATTTGCAGGAAATACAGTGAAGTAACATTTTGTAGTTCCACTTTTAATCACCAGTGGTGTCCAACACCTGTGCCAGGAGTGCTGGATGGTTCATGCTACTTATACCTTCTTTTTTTCCTGACAGGATTCTTCCTTTTCAAAAACTTTTTACTATGCCTCTCCTAAAGATCCCATCTGAATTTCACTTGAATCACAAAGTCTATCTGCCTTTTTTCTGGTATTCCCACATCCAGGGCAGAGGTATCTCTAATGCCTGGATGTTGAGAAAGTCCTGCTCTTTCAATAGTCATAATTCTGTGAAGCTGCTCTGCTCTCAGTACCATTTACAGCATCCTGCTGCAGGAAAGTCACTTTGATGCCTTCTGAGCAGGACTTGCTTAGCAAATGGAGGAAATTCTGAGTTTGTGAGTGCTGCTTGCATTTAGGTGGGAGATGAGTGCTGGTGATACTGGTGAGAATGAAGTTGTGGGTGTCTCCAACAAGAAGATTCAACATATCTAAAGGATTTATTCATGGTGGTGTGTTGAGGACCTAAAATGTGGATTTAGATGCCTCATAACTTAGCATTAGCTCAAAAAATTTGTGACGTTCATTCCAATAATTTATTTAAAAATGCTCTGTAATGTTTCTTAATCCTAAATACATATGTATTTTCTTTTTTTCTTGAATTTGCAGGTTTAAAATATTAACAAAATAAATGTATGCCTGCAAATGATTTCTTACTAAACCCATTTATATTTAACTTTCAAAAAAATTAATAAATAATTTGCAAGCTAGCTAAAGTATCTAGGTGTTTTCTTTTCTAAATGGCTTTTTACTAAGAAAGACCACTAATATGCTTTTATTTTTTGTTTGTTTTGTCCACAGCTGGAAGCCCACCTATGCAATTCTTAAAAAGCATGGAGAATATTTGCAAAATGAAATGAAAGCTTTAGAGGAAGCTACAGAAAGTGAGAGGTATCTATGATCACATGAGATGAGGTTTCCAGCAGTAGTACTGACTAAACTGATCAGCAAAACTAGTGCTGTCTGCAGGAAAAAATTGTTGCAAACTTTTCAGTCTATGGTCACTTATAAGTGACTAAATAATTGAAACAATTTTTTGTTTTGAAATAAATTTTTGTTTTGCAATAACATTACTATGAGATCATATGTTATTTTGTAGTTGTCAAAGAAATATGGCAAAAAATGAATTCTTGAAACTCAGTTGCTTCCCAAATGCCTGTTATAATTTTTCAGAAAATTGTATGATTGCCCACTCTTTCAAGAAAAGCCCAATACATAAAAATAATTAATGCTTTCAGGTAAAAGAAGCATTCAGATAATTTTATGCTTTTCCTTATTTTTGAATAAGAATTCCATAGCATTCTCAGAGTATACAAATCAAGTTTTTGTATGCTGCTGTATATTCTTCAAAATAACCACAAAGCATGCCAATTCAGTCTAAGGTCCTGAAAAATGAGTAAGTGGCTCAGAAAAACCTGGTCTAAAACCATTTTAAGACTAGTTGTGGGCAAGCTTCTAGTCAGCATTAATTGCAAATTGAATTCTGTTCAGTGAGTGGCATCTCAGGTGTTTCATCTTCATTAATTAGACTCAGCATTTAAAAGAAATTATTAATTGTGTGATGTAGCTGCCTTCAGTCAATGAAATAAAAAGCAGACCTTGAAGATTCTCACAGAAATGTTCCAAATATGCTGTGCCAAGGTAATCCTCTAAAGTTCTACTGAACAAAGTAAAACTGATCTCCAGTTTAGGGAGGCTGCTCACCTGCACTGCTCTGCCTGTGAGGGGTGGAGGCTGCTGGCCCTGTGGTGCACAAGTCATGGCAGAGCCCTCCAGATACCTAAATACCAGTTAAGAGTTGGAAATTTAGGTAATTTAAAACGCTGGCTTTGAGTTTTTTGTAATCATTCTTTTTGCCAGTTGTCCAAGACAGCAGAAACAGCATGCCTGAGAGCCTTTAATTAACTCACTTAGTAGCTTATCTTTCTTCTTCCTGTTCAGAGCTCTAAATTTGGTGAAAAATAAGGCTAAATTGGCTTTCTATGAGTATATGATTAAGCCTTTTTGGCTTTCACTAATTTGAGCTGACAAGCCAAAGAAGCATTACTTTTAAATTGCTTCTTTAGATAACTAGTTTCAGTTCCAACATGAAAGTGTTTGATCTGTTTTCCTGACCTTAATTGTAAGACATCGTGAGTACAAATCACAAAATAAATTTAATTCATGCATTTTTCAAAACTGTGCCCCAAATATAGTCTCTCTGCACCAAAGCATTTGATGATATGTTCAAGTCAGCAGGATGTGCATTCAGTAAATTCTAAATATTTAAACTAGGAAGAAAAATAAGTGTCTTTAGAACTTCATGAGTTGAATGTTGTTTTTAGTCTGGCATTTGGGGGCACTGAGGACATGCTGCTTTTGGTGGAAAGATGTGTTTTAAAGATGGGCAGATCAGTTCATGTTTAATTAGGCACTTATAATGGAGGTTTATAAAATGTTCCCCATTTTTTTGTTGTTATTGGTTTCAAAAACATATAAGAATGCATTTATGAACTGGAAGTTAATTCTGAAAATAAGTGATATAAAGAAGGAAAAAGTAATAAATTGCTATCCACATAATGTTCAGGGGGTTGTGAGTGCTGCCCTTTTCCTCTTGTAATTAGATTAAAACTTTTTCTGATTAATGTGAACAGAGGTGAATTCTAAATAGTCTGTGTTATCTGCATGAACTGCAAGATGTAAATTACCTGGAGAAAATATTAAAAATAGTGATGATTTCTCAAGACTACTATACTATATATGGCCACAAATATTATATGTGAAAAATAGATTTTGGGAAAAAAAAAAATAAAGTTTTAGGATTATATTCACAAGCTTGAAATACACATGTTACAACAAATTATTTTACTTATTTATATTATTTATATCTATTTGTAATGCATTCTAAGTTTATTAGTAAATTTATTTTTTGATCAGTGATTGTTGTAACATCTATTTAATTAAATAGAAATGAATATTTTTCATCTTTCATACCTGAAAAATTTTGTACAGTATACAGAAATATTGAGTAAATAAAAAACCTTAGATTCCTGAGACCACCTGTGTGGAAAAGCACATAGATTAGTGTCATTTTCTATGTGAAGTCTGAGAAATATAAATTTCTAGGTTTGCTTCACAGTGTTGACCTACAGCTTCTCTCCCCTAAATTTTAACAGTCAGTTTAACAGGAACTCTTGCCTGGAGTGTGGTTTGATCTGAAAATTAGAATCTGTGTTTTGCCTTCTGAATTTGTTCGTTTTGTAAGAGCAGAAGATTCTAGTATTGAATTTAATCATAAGTTTTTCTCTCTCCCATTGCCTGGCACAGCCAGTGGGCAGCCAGGACTCTCAAATGCAGCCTTTCAGTCATGCTGCAATTAAATGATAAATAGCATTTGGAGATAAAATGTGTTCCTTAAAGGGAAGTCCCCTGTGCTTTGCAAGTGGTGAGAGCTGTTCCTTAATGTAGGGGCAGGTTAAGAGGTGGGTTTCTGGCTTTAATTGCTTTCATGCACCATGGTTTTTCCCATAAGGAAATTTCTTGCTAATCCTTAGGTGTACTAATAACTTAATATTTTTAAATTTGCCTCTCCATTGTCCACATAAGCTTTTCCTGCATTAATTGATTCCTACTTCAGTAATTCATAGCTATGTGCTCACATGATGTCAGTGGAGTTACATTTAGTGTAACATTAATTTACAGGGCAGCCCCACAAGAAGCTGAGCATTCTGTTCTTTGCCACTTAAACATTTAAGTGTTTGCTTAACCTTAAGTATGAATAGTCCTGTTGTTTCAGTGTGACTGATGTGTGTGTTTAGGGCTTCCCTGAGTCAGAGATTACTCAGCATCTCCTTGGAGGCAGCTCTTAGTCCAGTGGTGCATCAGACTGCTCTAAATATGGGAGGTTTGGCCAAATTCTCTCCCACTGTAACTTTGATCCAGCTCCACCAAAACTGATGGAATTGTGCCAACATGCACCAGCAGAGACTTTGGCTGCAGTGAGTTTCATGATAATTACACAGGCAAAACCACATTTGTCATCTGCCAGGCTGCCTTTGAATATGGTGTGGTCTACATTCCCTTCAGAACAGGGAGGCTTGGCTGGTTTTTACATCATGACTGTTCTTTGTTACATACAGCATAGTCTTCCTTAAATATAGCTGGAAAATAAAAAATAAAGCCAAATATTGCCATATTAAATGTAATCTGATTTTTCTTCCTATGACAACAGCAAATTAACTGAGCTGATGCCAGAATTTATAGGGTTTTTCCCTTATAAACAATTGTTTCCTGTGAAAAAAATTAAATTACATGTATTTTTGTAGGAAAATATATGAGGATTCCATAACCCAGTGTAGAATGACTTTGGAGGAACACCGCAAAAAATACACAGAAACTGCTCTTGCCCAGAAGTATTACCGAAAAAAGGAAGAGGTTGAAGAAATTCAAAAGAGAGTTTTGAAACGCCTTGAAAAATACAAATGGAAGGAAGATGCTTGCTTGGATATTCTGGGTACTGCTATTGTCAATGCTTTTGCAATAAAGCCTTTAGGCAGTGCACTGCACATTGAAGGTGCCATATGGAAAACCTCCAATTTTCCAAAGTTTCCTTTAAGCTAACAAAATATATTGTCTTTGTCACACCATTTTTAGAAAAAAGAAATCCGTAGCAAATAAGAATTTAGGTTATACATACTGATATTCCTTCCTCCAACCCATAAGTGTAATGGGGAGAGATTTGTCATTGAACTTCTTGGGGCAGAAATGTTCTAAGATTTCTTTAGATGGAGCCTCTCAAAATTATAAAGTTAATTTTCAGCACTTTTTAGTGCTGTTTTTAATGCCATTACTGTTATACTGCAATTTTTGTTATCTATATTAGGCCAAGATAAATGCTCCTCATCTATTAATTTATCTTGTATTTCTTTAAGAAAATTGATTTGTTAATTAATGATCTGAAGGTAAATTTTATTTTTGCAGAGGCTGTTCCCTTTACATCCATAAATGATTGGGCTGTACACATGTATCCTTGATTTCTAGTGTTTGTTCAGTTGTCAGGAAAGAAGTTTTATATTTACATTTCACAATTTTCTATTAGAAAATATAGTAATTATATCTATATTTCTATATAAATATAGAAATATATATGTATATATTTATATATTTATGTTTAGAGTGGCAGCATTGGCATTTCTCTATGAGAAAACTGGAGGTCAAATTCAGCTATTCAGTTTGAATTTATGAGAGCATTTTGGGTAAAGAATACAAAATTTCATTTAATAACATAGCCATCAAAATGCTTCATTTAGGAGAAGCTTAATAGGTGTTAGAGTCAAAGATTTGCCAAGGAAATGCAGATTATCACAGCTTCCTTCACCTCTAGCATTTGTGTTATGGCATGGAGAGGTCCAGGGTCTGATGGCATCCCTTGCTTGAAAAGATATATTGTTGTAAAATATATTCCATGACTTGGAAGTGCCTCTATGAGGAAAAAAACACAGGAAACCTTGCAGCTTGCTGAAGCTGCTGCACAGAAAACCATGAAACTGGAAAAAGAAGCAGAAGAATTACAAATGAAAATTGACTGCTTAAAAAAGGTAACTGTATCTTAATTTTATTTTACATAAATATGTGTTATACATGTGGTCGTACATAGCACTGTTACATTTTCTGAAACATCAAAAAGTAGTGTATTTTCAAGCTCACAGACCAACAGGATGATCCCAGCCTTATAATTACATTTCTATAGCATCCCATATGTTTTCTTAGAGAAGAGGTGGCCATGAATGTGAAGGTTCTAGCAACTTCCTTTCTGCTGACCTCAGTTTGTGCCACACTTTCTGCTAAGGCACCGTGTCACGACGACTTTGGGGTCAGCTCAGCAGGATACACTTGAAAATAGATCAGGGCCAGTCCTCAGTGAGCCCCAGGTATTGAGTGTGCAGCTTTCACAGGTCCTACTGGGTTTTTAAGGTTTTGTATTTAACTAAGTATGCTTTACAATAAGAATTATGGAAATTCCTTCTCTCCTGATTTTATTTTTTCCCCATAATACATGTGTGGGTATGTAACACCCAGCAGTAAAACTGGCTGATTGACTAGGAGAAGTGTTGATTCCAAAAGGGAGAATCTTCAAAATAATCAAAGGGATTTTATCAGTACAGATTTTGGATGTACTCCTCTGTAAAAGGTCTCTTCTAAGCCTGAGTAGCCCAATCTTGTAAAGGTTTAGTTACTTTTTAGCATTGCATCTGGGTGCTTTTCCCCATCTGTCTGGAGCAGATGATCAAGGACTCCATTTGCTGCCTTGTGCTGATAGCAGCACGTTTTGCACAGGTGGTTTTTCTGTTTATATTCTGTCATCCTGTTTGACGCTCCTGGTTCCAGACTGAAGTTCCCAATGTGGTTTGTGAGGTGCAAACAGAGAGGAAGAAGGGATGTGGTGAATTTTTTTATAGCTATGACGGAGACCACGTGAAGAGCTCCAGGTTCTGACGTTTAGACCCATGCTCCAAAACTTCTCTGTTTATTCCAGTTGTTACAGTTGACCCAACAAAAAAATATTGCATCTTTTTGACCTTGTTCTCCTCATTTCTTCAGAACCTCTTGGCTACAGAAACTACTACTGAGCACTGATTCATTAGGTTTAGAATACTTTTGCAGCATGTAGCTAAAACAGTTCAAGTTTTGTCAATTTTTATGCCATTTGCTCTTTATCTTTTAAGAGCTTCAGGGAGACTAAAGAAGATCAAAATAATTCCAAAAAGATTGAAGGAAAAAATCAGAAACATCTTGCGAAGCCAGAAGAATTTAAGGAAAGGTACACTTCAAAATTATTTTTCCCATTTTATCCAGAATACTGTGTCAGAATTTGCCCAAAGACTGCTACAAAACACATATTGTTGTTCATTAAGGACTGACAAGCTTCTCTAATCCTGGTCATGTGATTTAATCATGTAATTTAAAAAGTTTTATATTTCTGGGGGTTAAGATAGTGACAACTTTTGATTCTTGGAAGCTCAATGTATCTGGACACGTGCTATAAAAATGTCCTGTAGAAGCATTTTCTCCTCAGCTACTGCTGAGAGATCTGTGTGAGTAGTTTTGAATGCAACTACAGTGACTGTGCAGTCAGAGATAAAATAACATTAACTCTACTAAATATATATATTTGGAAAAGGAGTCAGGGTTCCACATGTCAGTTGTCTTCACCTCTGAACTGCTTAAGAAATTTAACTCTTAATTTAGTTCTTAAAAACAAGCATGAGTGAAAGTTTCATGGACAGGATTAATGGCTTAGTAAATTAGTCAGTGATCATTTACAGCTGGGACTCACTTTAATTTGAGCTCAATTACAATGACTGAAAATCACCATGAGGACTATCTTGCACTTATCTGGAGTCCTTGGGAATGTTGAAACATCTCCTGTTGAGCTGGCACTTTTAGACCAAAATCCATTTTAAAGCACAAATATGTCTGAAAGACTTTGTCTAAGTGACTTTATATTATGGTGTGCTTGAAAAATAATCCTTTTAGGGCTTTAAATAGGCATTCAGTGGAACTTATCTATAAAAAAGTGTCATTTTAGTAATTCCTAAGATTTTTTTCACAGGGACCTTTTAAGTCTTTAACACCTTCTTACAGACCTATAAGTCATTTAAATGATCATTTCTTTGTGGTGTAGCCTTTGCACCCATTTTGCCTTCTCATGTAAGATTTTTGTAATTGGCAAGAACAGAAACACGGGGAAGCAAGAAATCCCCCTAGCTTTAAGACAAGGTAAAAAAAAAAGATGGAAAGCACTCTCTTTGAATTTTCAAAGAAACCCATATGTGTTCAGTCTGCAGACACAAAACACCAGTTAAAGACCTGCCATAAGAAGCAGAGATCCATGCTCTGGGTGTGGAGGGGTAAGAACCCCTCAGTGAGGCTCCTTGTGGTAAGGAATCCATAGGGTGCACTGCCACACCTGCCATTTGTACATTTCTTTTCCTGTCATGGAGTCTGCTTGTACCTTCACCTGAAGTTGTGTTTGTTCCACAACATAAAGGATTGTAGAAAATGGCATAAAATTGATTTCTTAATATCTTTATCTGACATCAGTGTATTAAGAAAAGTCTTCACTAGAAAGCGTGGAAGTGACTGCTTAAGTAGCTATTGGTGTTAAAAATGGGTGTAATATGAAGCTGTAAAAAAACCAAATAAACAAAAAACCCCCAAAAAAGTACTCTGGGAAAAAAGAAAAAAAAAACCAAACAACTGTCAAACAGAAGCTGGGTATTGAGAAAATGAGCCATAGGAAATAAAACCTTTGCCAACTCAAAGAAATACAACAGCAGAATGTGGGTGCCAAAGGCAGGAGTTTCTTTCGAGCTGTCCTGCAGCCACTACAAAGTTACTACTGAACAAAAAGGTCTTTCTGAAGAAAGGAGATGTCTTCATCTTCTGCCACAAAAAAAAAAAAAAAAGGAATTGTGAATCTCCATGAAGTGGTCCAGACCAGCATGAAAGCAGCAGGAGCAAGGGAAAGAACTGAAGAGAGCAATGAAAGCACTGGGCAGAACACTGTACACATTAATACCCAGGAAAAGCTTGGAAGGCTTCAAGACAAGAAGCCAACTTGCAAGCCCATTAATAGGTGCTGATAAACATGTTCTGCCCTGGGCAGCAGGATGGCAGTGGGAACTGTTCCTTCAAAAACCTGGAACACTCTTTTTTGAATCACTTGGGTCTGGCCAGCTGCTGGTTAGGAGTGAAAAACACGGATTCCTCTCCTCTTACCAGCTCTTGTCACTGATTTACAGCTCAGCAGTTACAGTGACAAGCACCACAGTTTAATTTCCAAAGCAAGAGTTCTCATCAATCACCAAACAGGACTCAGCTCTTTTTGAAGCTCTGGTCTTGATTTCTCAATTAGATATTCCATTTATTACATAGAAAGGCTGGTAGTTGAACTGTGCTCTGGCATATATTGTGTTCACTCTCTCTGCTTTTGTAAAGTGGTTGGGAGAGATTTAATTCTACGACTCCATAATTCTTTATTGCTTTTTCTTTCCAATTTGGTCATGTATTAATTCCACCTCTTACCTTCCAAGTGAGAGCTTTTTGCTACATCTGCACACAAAGGAGATTCCATGGTGGATTGTTGCAGTTCTTGCAGCATCTTTGGGTCAGAAGTGATTGACTTCTACTGAGCAAGGAAAAAAATCTGCTAATATAAATCTTAAAAAAGTAATTATGAAGTTGTTTCTGGGTTTCTAATGTAAACATATGAAGAGCCAACTCAAAAGAATGCTCCTGATGAGAATACTGAACATAGTTTTAGTAACTGTAAACACTACAGAAGATGTTATTCTTCATCTGTGTAATGAGATACACTTGATTCCTGTTGTAGAAATTAATATTAATCCTTGGATTTCTTTATGCTACAAAAAAGAAAATACTACTAAGGAAATGGCAATTTATTTTGGCTTAAGAATTTCAGTTTTTCTCTTCGCACTTTTAAAAACCCCTGCAGTATGGATCAAGATAAAGAATTTTTATCTACTCAAGTGTCTACTAACAGTAAAGTAGAAAAAGAAGAAAAATGATTATTCTTGTTGCTGCAATTTGGATTGTTTTGAGCTTCATGATGCAGTTTTAGTTTTCTTCCAGTGGTATTAATTAATGTCAGAGAAGATGTGCATTGTTTATATTTCGTTAGTGCTTTTGTGGAGGGAAGAGAGCAGGTGTACTGCATATGCATGGAGTTTAACTGCAGGCTCTTTTGGAAGGTTTTGCTACTTAAAGAATGAATATCTTAAGAACTTCTGAGTTTGGTTTGTAACTCTGCCTTTGAAATGTTATTCTGTATAGACATGTATTGTAAGAGGATTTTTTATTTAGTGGAGAGTAAGTCTTTAGAACTATAGTGCTGTGTGCTAGGCTTTGCAGAAGCACAAGGAAACTGACTCCAGGAACTTTTAAAACCAGAATTTGACACCCTAAGTTCTGGGAAAAAACCCAACCAATCAAACAAAAAAGACCCCCAACCACAACCCACCCTCCATTTATGGCAGTCTGATAACCTCAGCCACAGCAGCCTTTTTAAACTGATATTTGAATGATGATTTTGGTAAAATGAGCCATTTGGATCAAAGTGAAACAGTTTCAGCCAGAGTTCTGTGCTTAGCTCTGTTTTGATTTCTCCTTGCTTTTGACTCCCTGTATTTGAATTTACAGATACACCAGGCACACACATCTTGTTTTCTTTAGTATTCATTCTTGACACAGGTTTATCTAAAACTGATGTAACTAAAGGATTTACTTTGGATTTTAGTTTTTTAGGTGGTAGATCTTTTGTACAGTTTGTTCAGTCTCAGTCCAGCACAGCACCAGGTATAAATGTAACTGCAAGAGAAAATAGTCCTTTTCATCAGAGACACTTGGACTGAGGGGCTTTCAGGGTTTTATGAGAACACATAGCTCACATGTATGTATATGAGTTTAATGTGTTAGGTCCTTATATTTAGCCAGGCTTCTCACTGGTATTTTTTAGTTAGTGTTGCTAATTTTACTCCACACTATCTTATAAAGTGTATCCTACATTTTATCTTATTTTTGTGTATGGAGAATTTCAAGAAGAATAAGAAGACTGACTCTGTTCTTCATTTGTTCTGAACAGCATTGTTCAGTCAACTACAAACCAGATGTTGTAGCTAGAAGCACAGAGGCACTAAGCAGAAATGCCAGAGAGAAAATAAAATAGAACTCATTATTCTAAAAAATAGTAAATGTTCCTGTGCCAAACAGCCACTTTACTCTTCATTGTTCTGCTAACCTTTGTCTTTCTGCACTGTAGAGGGCTATTTACCCTACATAGATAATTACCCCACAAGTGAAAACACTTGCTGCAGTTTTCTCTTTTGTGTATGCGTAGTGTGAGTATTCCAGACAATCTCAGAGAGAGAAAAAGTGGTTTAAATGTGAAAATGTGATTTCAGAACTACAACAATGAGGCACTTTGATTAAAATGTAAAACTCCACAACAGTAATACTTTTCTTTGATACTGACAAAATTTAAGCCAACAATGTTCTTATGATTGGCTTATTACTCCTTTGTGGCTTCTTTTTCAGAGATATTCTCTCTCTGTGAAAGAAGAAAACCTCATTTTTGTCAACTACTGGTGCTGAAAGTGGTAGAACTTCCTTGACAACATCCAATGGCCTTGAGAATTTCACTTATTTGAAGCAGCTATATTTTATGATTTCTTTTCTTTTGCAATGAGTAAGTTTTCTTTTTTATTTAAATTTGTTTAGGATGTTTGAAGAGCATGGACAGCCATCTTTGCCAAAGGGGAAACATCAGCTGTATAAAACATTGCATGTCCCACGCATTCCTCGGAAATTTGTCCAGTCTGTACAGAGTTTTAGATTCTCAAAGCAAAGACCAGAAACAGGTGCAGTGTGTTTAATGACTTCAGTGAGCATTTGGGGTTGTTTTTGTGCAAAATAATGGGTAAAGTGATGACAACAAATCTAGTGAACTGCTCAGCTACTTATAGTTGAAGCCAGGCTTTCAATGGAAGTTGGGTGCTTACCTTTTTTTATGCTCTGGAAATCTTGTGTGTCTGATTTCTCCCGTATCTGTGCAATGAGTAAAGTAACATGACAGATACACCCAATGTGTGGTGTCAGAAACATCTGAAAATAATTTATTCTCAAATCTAAAATACTTTTAACACTGTTTGCATTAGTACAGTAAGTATTAAACAACTGTTATTTGTTTGATATTTTCATACTTTGTGATAAGTTTATTTTTGCTCTCTATTAAAAGAAAAATGTATAAGGTTTGTTCCCAAGTTCTGTTTAACAATGGCATACTTTGGATACTTAATCTTATTGACAATATTATGTAATATTTGTAAATTTAGGGAAAGAAGAAAAAGAGAAATCAGTGGAACTTTCAGTGGTTACCAGCAGTTCCTCCAGCCTTGCAGAAAATTTATCACAGGTGTGTTGCTCTCCCACTGGTAAAAATATGAAGTTACATAATCTGTTTTATGTGATTGTTTACATTTAAAACACTTCAAATATATCTCATGGTATGATATCTGACATAAAACCTGTTAGCACTGTACATTGTTAATCGTGGTAATCTGCAATTGCTTGGTAATGACAGAAGAAAATCTTTCTTTGATGTCTTTTCATTCTGAAAATATCTGTGTTCTTACAAAGTGTATTCTAATGCCAAAATCGAGGTGGACCATCTTACCAACTCATTTTGTATAACAGTTTTTAGCATTTAAAATCACCTCTGTAGATTCTGTATGTAGCAAATATTTGGAACTCTAAAGGAGGATCAGAACATTCTGTCACTGATGAATCCTGAACCTTCTACTCCATAATGAAGGGTTTCATAAAGGACTGAGTGTACAGGACAGCCCACAGTTAACAGCTCCATTCTGAGGTTTGACCAGAAACAGAAATCAGAGGAATAACACCATGAACAACACTCCTTGGTGCACTGCAGGAGCCCACAGCTCCATTTTGTCTCTCTCTCTCTCCCATAAGAATATAGTTTCTATGACATTTTTTTAAATGGTGAATTTCAGCTTTATTCAGATACAATATTTTTTATTCAAATGCAATAAACTAATCCAGAAGAAAGCTGGAGGTATAACTTGCAAAGTTGTGAAAACCATCAATAGTCTCATGGAGTGCAAGACCATTCATAGGAGCAATAGATTGTTAAAGTATTAAATGCAGAAATCAGAGGAGGTAAGGCCATAAGGGGTAGAAGAGTTTGTAACTGTGTTTTCTGTGCAGGAGCTTGGGAAAGGTTTTATCTCTAAACCATCTTTCTAAGGGTCATCTCACTGGATCTATTTAAAATCAAAATTTCATGAACAAAAAAATGAGATAAAAAAAGTTAGCATAACCAGTTGTGATTTTCTTAAGAATTTCAAAGGAACTGAAGAATGAGATGAGTGAATCACTGGATGGTTTAGAGTGAAGTCTGTGTGGAAGACAAAGCCTTCATAACACAAAACAAGATGAAGGACAGTAACAGGACTGAGTGGGACGAGACCAGAAGAAATTTCAAGCAATTCTGATTTGTGACTGGCTTAGGGAGTTGGATGTGATGAGGATGAGGGAAGGGCTGTTGCCAGGGTAATCTAGAGATGAGGCTGGGAGTCTGGGACCTAGAATTGCACTTAGACAATTGTAGGAAGCAGTAAGTCAAGGTTAAGAGAACTTTAAGAAAGAGTGATGGGAACAAGGAAAAGAAGATGGAGTCTGAGGAAAAATAAAAAGATTGGAAGAAAGAAGGCTGCTATGCTTCAGTAAAGGTGTGCTGTACACTACAGGAGTTGAATTGCAGGCAGATTCTGTAGAACCAGCTCATTTGTCCCCTACCCTGGATAGAACTCAGTTTGATACATTTTGTTAATTAAAAATAAGCAAGAACTAGACACTCCCTGCAAAATAATGTGTTATTTGATGCTGAGACATGGATTCCTCACCCTGCCCTTAAGACACAAATATGTGCTACATAGAGGAGCGATGGCTTCTGCTCTGATGAAAACCTGTGAGGTTGGGAGTATTTCCATGTTTTCTGCAGTTTTTCAATCCCCACATGAGACCTGTGCTGACTGAGGCTGGTGTGGATGCTCAGCTGGCCTCCAGAGGCAGAGCCAGGCCTGGCCCCAGCCCCTTCTGTGTTCTCAAGCACAAGCAACCAGGCTGCAGCAGCAGCAAACCTGCATGAAGTTTGTGAATGGCTCAGCACTACTGGAGTTACAGAAAAGTTAATTAATCACATCTAGTTAGCAGTGCTGTGACTAAATATTAAAAAATTACAGAATACAGGGTATCATGCTGTCAAAATGTAGGTAGAATAAAGGAAAAGTTTTTACATTGTCTGATCCTTAATTTCTGGTTAAAAAAAGGAATTTCCACAGTCTAAGGAGAAACCATAATGATATTGTTGAAGTGACAATTTCACTTGCTGCCTCACGTGAGTTTTTTCTGTCTTTTAGATGGTTATTGGCACTGCAGGGACTAATTACCCACAAATTGCCCAAGTTCCAACCAGAGTAAGCATAAAAAACCAAGTGAAATTCAGGTAACTTTTCTTTAATAAAATAGCTTTAATTCTTGAGGCTGGGGTTTATGCAAATGATTCACATTTAGACAAACATTAAACTTTGTCTTTTAGACTGTCAGATCTTCCAAAGCAGTTGACTTTCAATCAACAGTTTGAGAGTGAAAATGCAGTAATGGGTAAAGTACTACTGTAATTTTTTTTTTTATAAGGTTGGATCATATAGTTACAAACTAGGAAATTCTAAGGACCAGATTTTCATTCTGGCATTGAGAGGGCCACCATTTGCATTTCTTTTCCACATTGATTGTTTAGCTCAAAATTTGACTATAGCAGACAGGCAGAGTCCTAATTTAAATAGAGACTTAACTGCTCAGTAATGTGGGATTTAGTCTGCACTGACCATTGTGAATGAATGGATCTGTCCAACATCTCTTGTAAATTCACACCTGAGTCTCAAATTACTTGGGTAAAATGAAATCCAGTCTTAAAATCTAGCCAGAAGGCACGAGAAAATGCAAAGAAATGAAATATAATAAACCTAGTAATTTAGGTACCTTGAAGAATCAAATCAAGATTATTAAAGATGAAAATTAACTGGAGAAAACATGCAGAATGCTTACAGAAAAAAGCCAGGGTAGCTACAAATACACCTGTAGCTTTTGAAATCACAAGGAACGGAGCTTCACTTTAAATATTTATTTTTCTAATTGAACTTATAATTTAGATGCATGTAAAAAATTATAGCCTAGATTTTTTTTTACAAAACAACACTGAAACATAGGACTTTAACCCACAGTGCATGAGACATAACAGAGTCTGAAGCTTAGAGCAAAAACTCTGACAGCAGAAAGCCTGATAATGTTTCTTCTCATTTCTCATCCTGACTTTTGCCCAATTCTTTAAACTACACTTCATCACTGCCACATGGATGTGCTTTTTATGTTGTTCCCACCTGGTTTCTATTGACTATTAGCACTCTCAGAGGGTAATAGCTGGAGTAGACACACACAGCACTCTCAGGGAACAATGGGCAGGTTTGAAGAACACACCAAACCACAAGCAGCAGCCTGAGTAATGCTTTGACAGCAACGAGTGGCAGAGCAAGAGGTAATTGTTATGGACAGAGCCACAAAGTGGGTTATTAAGAAAACCACAGTCAGAACACTTCCTTACCAACAGCAATGCCAAGCTAGTGAACTTTTCTCAAGGATTCTTTCCCACAATGTCATTTTTATGTGTCTGTTTAAAATGCTGTTATAATACAGGCAGTGCTGTCTTTTTTGTGCAGCAAGCCAGGAGGCCAAACATGTTGATGAAGAAGCAGATGAGCACATGGACTGTTCATATGTACCTCAAGTAAGAAAAGCACTTCTTATGTCATAAATAAGAAATTTATTTAGAATAGTCAAAGTATTTTGACATACTTGATTCAGTTGGCAAGAGGCAAGTCCCAGAAATTGGTAAAGTGTCAATTGTTGCATAACATTTTCATTAATGTGAGCTGATGAAATGTTTTGAAAAAAGTCTGCATTTAAAACTGACTTCTTGCACAAAACTATAAATAAACAGGCTCAGTGCTGGCTCCACTGAGAACATACTTACAGTTAAAAGGACTAATGATATTTTGGAAATGTTGTATGTTACAAACATCACTGTTTATTTCTTTTTAATAGGATATGCACACAGGTTTTTATAGTTAAAAGGACCAACGATATTTTGGGAAATGTTTTATGTTACAAACATCACTGTTTATTTCTTTTTAATAGGATATGCACACAGGTTTTAAGCCAAATGAAGATAATCCTGACATAGAAGAAGAAAGTGCAGAACCTTTCTTAAGAGCACCTAAAACACCTGACTTAAAGGGGAAAAACCTACACTTCTCAAAAACACCTCTATTTGACTGGTATGATTTCAACTTTTATTTGATTCTGAGCAAAAAGTTGTACTCACACTTACTATATAAGCATTTCTGCTCTTTTTGAAAGATACTAGAAAAAGAATTTTCTAGAAAGCTCTTCTGAAAATACTCAGATTTTTTCCAGAGTTATGCTTGATATTTATTAAGTTTTCTTCCTACAGTATAATTTCCAGTTGAAGCAGTTTTGAAAGATCAGTACTTTGCTTAGAAATATATGGGACACATTGTCTTTTCCTGCAGTAATATTTGTCACTCTGCTTTCTATCTTTAATCAGGCTTTTTGGTTTTATTTGTTAAGAGGGAAGGGAGTTGGTAAGAACACCACCTCCCTTTACTTTAAATGATTCTGTTATCTGTGATGCAAAAAGCAATTACTGATGGAAGCTATGGGGATGTAAAATAGTGAAAAAAGAGGAAAAGGAAAAAATAGAAGGAAAAAAGCCATCTACATCACTTTAAAAGCTATTAGTATAGCTTCTACCTTTCTGTATTTACAGCATTCAAAATTTAGGTTGTGAAGAAGGAACATCAAAATCTCCTGCTTTCTTTTCTCATATGAACTTCTCCCAGAAGTCACCTGGCTTTAATTTATTTGATTCTTCTCTGTTTGGAGCACAAAATTCATCTGATGAGGTAAAAATGATTAATTGTGCACATTACATTTTCACAAAACAAAATATGTGAACAAAACAGCATTGACACTGAATGAGATTTTTCAGACTGGTTATCTTTGCAGCAAACATTTTTTAAATGTCTTGGTTACTTTTAAGCTTGATGTTCTTTGAAAATGTTTAATCCCTTTCCTGGCAATCCCCCTATGATGATTTTAACCAAGTATGAATCTCTCTCATATGGATCATGTACAAATATACAGTGACTCAATTCTCCAAAAGGCTTCTGGTTCAGTGTTACAGTGCAAAATTCAAGTCCTCTAGCAGACTTCACAACTCACATGCTTCTCCTGTGTGGCTTTGTCCTGATGAAGAGCAGTGAGAAGGGAAGAAAGGACAGTCTGTTAGGGTTACTGAACAGCAAATATGGATTAGCTATACTCAAATGGGGGAGCTAGGCAGGCAGTTAAAGGGAACAGGGAATGGAATCCAGGTCTTCCATTTTCTTTGCAGGTTTCCTAACTCCAGTGCTGTAGGGTAATTTTTCCTCTCCTGGGCTATTAGGTAGATAACTGGGGATCCAGGATAGATGTGTGCATAGGACAAGGCTTAGGTATCACTGGGGAGTGTAGATCCAAAACCCATTATGCAAATGAGGGATTTGAGCCCAGGTAGCTCCTGATGCAAGGGATGTGCTCAGTCTTGTGGTTACTGGCTGGGAGCTGCAGCAGGCATGAGGGAAAGCACCATTCCATTCTGGGTTTGGCAAGATACCTGTGGCTGGTGCCTCATAGCATGAACTGTGTGTAGGAGAGAACACACAGGTTTGTGGTTTGTGACTTGTTTAGGAATGAGGTGGGTTTTAAGTCACCCAGTGCTGTCAGAACCCCCATTATTTTGTGCCTGCTCAGAAGCAGAAATCAAGAATTTACCAGGCTGTAGCAGGTCTGGGACTCTTTAAAGTTAGATGGGAGTTTTGAAGAACTTCAGTATCTATATTAAATCTAAGAACTCATTTTAAGAGTGACAAGTGGTTATCCTGCTACACTTTCTGGCAATATGAGGCCCTGTTCAGTAGGAAGTATTTGCGTTGTTGCTTGGAGATTTTATAAAATGTCACAGTTTTGAATAATTTTGGTTTAAAAAAATCAGCCTTAAGTCAGGTCAGCTTTTGGACTATTATCAGTCTGGGGTTTTTTTCCTAGAAGAAAGGAGGAAGGGTGTTTGCAGCTGCATGCAAATATCATAAAACCCATTTGATCAAAGAACTTACCTTGCAACTTTAGGGACTGATAAATACCTTTAAATCCAGATTTTGTAAAGGCAGCTAACATTCACTGAGACACTGTTTTTCTCACTAAAAGCAAATACATATCAGCATTAAAGTTTACTTTTGCCTTTCTCATTTGTTAAATAAAAAATCTGTTTGCATTTCAGACAGAGGAAAATTATTCTATGGGAAACCTGAACCCTCTGTCCCCACATGAAGATATTGGTAAGTCTGAAACTCAGATGTACTTGTGTATATCATCAGCTCTCTTCTGCTTGTGTTCCTATGACTGACAGGCTCGTGATCCAGCTTTAACAGAGCTCCTTTGGTTGTCTGAAAGGATGTTCAGCTGTGATAATGTAGCTCAGTGGTTTGTTGTGCTCATTTGTGTTTTAACAAAATCTTCAGCTTAAATCTTCCCTTGCATGTTGAGCTCTAAACATCTGATGTATCATGGAAGAGAAAAGGTATGAGAAAGAAAGAAATAGGGATAGTGTTAGTTGTGCTTGCAGCAAAATGAGAGGACTTGCAAGGCAGAGGACAAAGTCCAAGTCTTTCAATGAGTGATCACATTTTTCTCTAAATAAACACTTTTGCAGATTCTATTTACAAATACCTCTGTTGCAAAATGTATCATGCAGAAGTGTTTTGTTGTTCTAAACCTTCAAGTGCTCCACAGTTTATTCCATGTCAATTCTAATAACAACCCCCTGGAAATATCATCTCTGGTGCAGGAATAAACATACAACTGTAGGGGGATTCTCAGTGGGATATTTGGCACAATATGTTAATAAAGAAGCACATGCTGAATGCAGTATTCACTCAGATGTAATCTAATAACAAATATTATATGTATTCCATACAGGAAGCTTCTTTGGGAAACCAGAAAATGAGGATGCATTTACTTTTCCCTTCCCCTCGGAATCAACTTCTCATGCATTTGGAGACGAAAAAGATGATGTTGGTTTTTCATTTGTCTTTGGACAGGATCAGAGATCATCACCATCTCCTTCTGTGAAAGGTTTTCATTCTTCCACACAAAATACAAATCCATTTACATTCTTTTGAATACCTTTGACTTCCTTTAAATTATTTCCCTACTTAGCCTTGACAAATGTTTCCAATTTCTTGAGTTAAAGTACAGAGCATTTCTTCTCCTTCCATTTCTTGTAAGAATACATTATTGCATTTGCTGCAATATGTGTTCATCAACCACACGTTTTGAGATTTTCTTACTTATCTTTGAAATGTGTTTGTTCATAAACTGTTATTATATGCTCTTGCTAAATTGGCACTCAAACAGAAATATCATTTTAAGGTAGAGTGTTAAGTCAATGTCTGTGAGAGCATTCAGCTTCTGATATAAACTAAATTGCTTGTGTTAGTTAGAATGACTGTTGTAGCAGTTAAAGCTGAATTTGAATTAAAGACAATGTTCTTGAGAATTCTGTGTATAACAGCTGATGCATAAAATATTTAAAATAAACATTTTTGTTAATATTATGTCAAAGTTTTGTAGGTATTTCTTAATATCTGAAGTGGAACAATGATGCAATTGTAATACTTAATATTTCATTCCCTTTCACTTTCCCCTTTCCCTTCTTTTCCCTTCTCCTCCTTTTCCTTTTCCTTTTCCTTTTCCTTTTCCTTTTCCTTTTCCTTTTCCTTTTCCTTTTCCTTTTCCTTCCCTTCTGACAAAATCCCAAGGGGAGTAGAGTCACTTCCCCTCTGCTGCCCTGCAAAACCCTTAATGACCAAAAGCTTGATTATCTATGCCACTGTTTCTTTTCTGCAAATTTCCTAAATGCCTCAGGACTTATTTTATGCTTAGAGATTTGTAAAAATTTGATTTTTTTTTAAACCGCAATTGAATCAGGAAGTTTTAGTGAAATCCTGCTGAGTTCCAGCTACTAAGAAGTGAGACACAGCTTTTCTAATCTCCTGCATACCTGTCAATCTGAAAAACCTAAGGCAGAGGCAAGTTTGAGTCTCTACCTTTTATTTTACACTGCTGATAGACAATCTGAGATCATTTAGAAACCCAAAAGTTTAATTTTGTCTGCTCAGTTATTCCACAACCAAAGATCTTTCCTGATGAATTCTGCTATCCATGCCTAAGATGTTACAGTGTACAAGTCAAGGTTGCAGGCTGAAGTGGGAGAAACCACAGTCCTAGGTCTTGCTGGATGTTTACTGACACAAATTGGATAGGTTGATTAATAACAAAGCAGAGAAAGCTGCTTCAGAAGAGGCAACCTCTCAGCATTTGGGATACTTTTCTGAGGCCTAAGACCATGAGCTGCTTATAAACACACACTGGGATTTTTTTCATTGGTACCTGTCAAATTCCACCTAGAAAAGTTCCCTGGTTATGCCTACAAAATCAGCAGCAGTTGTGTTGGTGGGTTGCTGACACTGGTACATCTCTCACTGCCCAATGTCATTTTGGTTTGCCCTTTACACCCTCAGCCATTCCATATTACCCCCATCTCCAGCCTGAAAGCTGAGTGAAGAGAGATTCTCTTGTCAGTGCAGCAAGGGCTGCTTGAGAGCAAAGCCCAGGTACTGCAGGTATCCCACACGTGACCAGCTGAGCTGGAGCCCAGGAGCCTCCAGAAGCAGCAGCAGCTGGGAGCTGTAATCCCATAAAAGCTGTGCAGCTGTCAGCAAAGTGACAATATGGTGACACTGTGCACTTTTGCTGTGAGTCCTTGCAGGTGGGGCTGCCTTTTTGTTCTCTCCTTGAATTGCACAGAGTAAAACAGTTCAGGCTCACAGCCAAGCCCAAAGGTACTGACAGCAAAAACCCCTCTTGAATAAGCAGGGCAGGGATTGGACTTTGAATCTTACAAGAGTATCCTAACCAGAAGGTAAATGTTTATTTAGATATCTTTATTGTTTCACTTAGGTTTTTAATGAAGTTTTTGACAGAAAACCACTTCACCTGAAATATTGCTTGTAAAACCTAATGTGCCACACTCCATTAGGTTAAATAAATATTAAATATTTTGTGTCACCAACCTTGTAGGAAATATAGTGATACCTGAATGAATTAAGTTTTCAATTTATTGAGTAAAAACCTTTGAAGAAGTTTACTAATGAAATTTACACTCTAATCTGCTGCAGTGGTGAGGAAGACATGGAGGCCTTGGTTTTATTTCTCCCACAGAAATAACAGCTATATGGAAATGTCATTTTTCTGATCAGAAATAACATAGAGAACATTTCTACACATCTGCCTTGTTCTGCAAAGTAGTCTTCCAGTAAAAAAATTATTTTAATTTCTAAAGTAACATAACATCTGGAGCACCATCTACTATTTTACTGATAATTTTACTGATATGTAAATGTAAAGAACATTTATAAACAGGGATATTTGGAGATAAAAAAGCAACTGCTGTGTAAGTTTGACACTAAAAAATTAATGACTGATATGTAAATGTAAAGAGCATTTATAAACAGGGATATTTGGCTGATAAAAAAGCAACTGCTGTGTAAGTTTGACACTAAAAAATTAATTTAGAAACTATGAGGTAAAGACTATTGTAATGACTGCCAGGGGTTGTGGAATATAAGGTCTATTTTCATGTACTGCTGTTTTATGCCTTCATACACCACTTTTAATAGGAAATAAGGCATTCAGCAAACTGTTCTCACTCAAAAATCAAGTTTCATGTTCAGAGCAATTTATGAATTTTCTGTAACTTTAACCCAAGAACATCAATCCAAAGTGCATATGCCCAGCATAACACTCTGCAGGACAAATTTTATTGTGCTGTTATGTATAATACTTAGGGGATAAACCCACAAAAGCTATTTATATTTTATATCAGAAAAACTGCATGACTAGGGCAGCTGAGAGTGTTAAAACTGTCTCTCAGCCACACTGAATTGTCAAGGGCAACGTGTGAATACTTTGAGGAAAACAAAAAGTTTATGTCATGACATTGTAGGCTCATCTAATTGCTCACTGATTAACAAGAGCAACCAGAATTCTGAGTTGGAAAAACTGAAGTGGTACAAGTGGAACAAACCTGAAATTTTGATCCACAGAGTAGATCAGAGAGCACTGTGTATAAGTAGTGGCTTTATTTCCAGCTACATCTTTAATGACAGCACTGAACCTCATGGAAATCCTACATGTCATTTCATCCCCAGTCTGGGCTGTATGCAAAGAAAAAAAGAGTTTGAATTTTTCATTTCAAGACCATGAACATAATTAAAACTTTGTGTTGGGAGTAACAGGACATCTCTGCATGTATGTGGGTAAATGCAGGCTTTGGGGGCAGGGGCAGGTGAATCACTGCACCCTAAGAAAACAATCTTACACTACAGCATTAATACGTTTAAGTATTTCAAGGAAATAAGCTTTAAGTGCTACATATTGTAACAGATTGGAATGTGTAGACTTACAGTATTAGATGGTCATAATCCCCCCAGTGCAAGGCTGATTGCAGGGGTAGCAAGAGTTGGCTAATCCTTTTGGGCCAATGGCATAAAACAAGGATTAGTTTTTCATTTACTGCAACTGAGTGGGTCATTAGGATCCAAAGACACTAATGAGCCTGAACAGGCAATTGGATTCTGGTTTCAAAGTTCTGGGCTAGTTTGAAAGGGGATTGATTGTGTCTTTTAATGATTTAAAACATGATGTTTTGGTGACCTTTTGCCTGAGAAAAATGAATGAAGGATGTAACGGTGGAACACAAACCTGGAATGCTGACTTTTTTCCTCCTGAGACTTGAGTTGTTGCCAGATTCGTTGCCTTAGAGGCTGAATGGCTCATTTAGAAATATCTCTGTTGCCTTGCTTTTATGTTCTGCTCTTGATGTCTCCGGAGCTGACACAAGTCACATGCAATCAAGTCTCTATTCCTGGTGGACAGGCACTGTCCTAATATTCTCTGACTCACACCCAGGTTGTTTGCAGCTCAGCAGTTCTGCTTCCAGACACATCACTTTTTGTTCTGATGCTAACATCTTGCTGAGAAATTGCCTCTTGGCACGTTGTTTCTTGGATCCTGTACCTTGTTGATTTGATGTGAAGATGATGCTCTTTTTAGCACTTGCAACACGTTACCTTTGGAGAGGTAAATCTTTGCCCTCACCTTGCTACATCACAGATTTTTTTTTTTTCAGGAATCACTTGAATTCAGCAGAAATAGGTAGCTTCTTTTTGGTGCCATTCAAATTAAGCAAGGCTATGAAAGAAATATCAAAAGATGCTGATACCATGCTAATAAAACATACAAAAAAGGAAATACTTTGACTGTTATGACTCCACAGGAGAAATACTGTCAAAAATTTTAATAACATGGACTTAATTTTCTGTATCATACCACAGTCCACAAGGCATCCATAAAGTTATTTCATACAGCACAGGACTTGATCCATCACCCTTTGAGGCTTGGCTTGGGGAAGGGAAAGAACTAGAGGATCAAGTTACGAAAAGTTCTTGCTAGTGGGGAACCAGCTGTTCTGACTGGTGGGAAGCTTGGAAGCTGACAGTCCAGACTGAAACTCACTTTGGAGCCTGCAGTTCTCATCCGCTCCCTTCTGCCAGAGCAGGACTGCCTTGAGCTAAGTGTGGTCTCTTGCTGCTCTCTTCTTTTCTTGAAGCACATGTGTGGCAAGTTTTAACTGTTTCCACAAAATTCCTGATGCTGTGGTCAGTGATTTTGCTCACTGCCACAGCTGCAAAGGGCTCCTGACCAGAAATTATGGGTAAAAAGTGGTTAAAAGTGTTTCTTAACGATTACAAAACCCCTGGAAATGCTGTTTCCATTGCATTCCAGGGAGGTGCCAAGCCTCTGAAGCACTCCAGCCATCACCCAAGCTGTACAATACAATTTCAAATCCTGCTACATGGGCTTAAAAAATACCTGGGCACAATGCATTCTTCAAGGTGTTTTTTTTTTTCTTGGGAATGAGCACCACCACTCGTGTATCTCACTCCACATACATTGAAGGAGTTATCATAGGCAGCTGCTTATTTCTTTTTTCCCTCACAGTTGGAAAAGGCTCTTGTGAAACATGCAGGTTGTTACCAGTATCATCTTTAGTGAGGAG